TTGTCTGTCTCCTCATGCCCTGATTCAGAGACGACAATCTTGGCAGCTGTGTTAGCCCTGTGGTCTTAAATGAGAAAGGAAAAGATGTTTATCTTTTCTTACCAACCACTCCTGTGGTTCCATCTCCAATTTCATCATCCTGAGACTTGGATAGTTCCACCATCAGCTTGGCAATCTGATGATCAACATCCATCATGCTTAAGATGGTGGCGCCATCATTAGTTACAGTCACATCGCCATCCTTATCCACCATCATCTTATCAAGCCCTAAAAAGATAATGCGTAGTAGGTTTTGGGCAAAAAACTGGCAACCAATATCACAAAGTATAAAAAAAGACCTCTTGACCCAGCTCTTACCTATGCAATTTATTATAAACAAATAATTCAACATAAATTAAAAAACAGCAGCATAAAGGCATTTTTAGATTGGGTAACATAAACGGCAAAAAATTACGGAGCATCATAAGTATAGTATAGATCTCAGAGACAATTATGATTTGGAAAATGCTAATGAAATGTTATGTTTAAAAAAAAAAAAAAAAAAAAAAAAAAAAGGGTCTGACCTAAAATTACACACAACTCTAACCATGTTTAAGAAACCTGAAATACGCTAAAAAATTTTGCCTGTGTTAAGGAAGTAAGATGCCTCCCCCCAATATCCCACCTTTCTGTACAGAGGTTTGTATTGACAGTTTTATGGTTTAAATCTTTTGCTAAAAAACACGAAATAGTGGACTCTTACCATTTGGTCCAAGTGATGTTCTCATTGTATTTGCTACAGCCTTTGCCGCCATGATATGAGACTAATGAAACAGAAAAATCGAAGATTGTTACATATTATTTCAATAGTTAAAAGCACGTATCTGATGATTACAAAAATCACTTATGACTTAGTTTCTATTTTCTAGAAGCTTCTACATTTGAGAGGCAACAGACTGTTCTAACATTTACAACTCCAGTTTTAATAAGCCATTCTTATGTAAAATAAACAGAACCAAGTGCTTTGTGCTATTTCACTTAATTTTCAAGACATTAATGAGACATTCTTTTACCAGCCCATTTACAGCTGAGAACGGGAACAGTATGACCACGACCTTACAAGACCATTTTCAACATAGTCCTCCCTGAGTCTCCATGGGGAATTAGTTGCAGGAGCCCCTGAGGATACCAAAATTCACAGATGCTCAGGTCCCTTGAATCTAGGCTTCCATATCTGTGGGTTCCACATCTGCAGATAAGGAGGGGACTGTACCCATGAGGAAGAGTCCAACTGTAAACACACAACATCTTACTGTCACACTATGATTTACTGCAGAATTATAATCTTTTAAGCTGGGTGCGGTGGATACAGCCTGTAATCCCACCTACTTGGGAGGCTGAGGCAGGAGGATCCCTTGAGGCCAGGAGTTTGAGATCAGCCTGGGCAACATGGCAAGACCCCGGTACAAAATAAAAAGAAAAAATGTCCTTGCTTTAAAAATCTTCCTCCACCCACCTGAAATTCCAATAATAATGTCTGTAGATCTGAGTTAGCAACTGGTCCTCTTAAGGAAGGTAAGTAACTGTCAAAGTGATAATTAAAAAAAAGTTACCTGTTACTTTTTTTTTTTTTTAAACCACATTTAGCTACCAAATTGAGTGATATAATTATTATTATTTTTTTTTGAGACAGAGTCTCGCTCTGTCACCCAGGCTGGAGTGCAGTGGTGTGATCTTGGCTCACTGCAACCTCCAACTCCCGAGTAGCTAGGATTACAAGCAAGCACCACCATGACCAGTTAATTTTTGTATTTTTATTAAAGCTGGTGTTTCGCCATGTTGGTCAGGTTGGTCTCGAACTCCCGACCTCATGATCTGTCTGCCTCAGCGTCCAAAGGTGCTGAGATTACAGCTGTGAGTCGCAGTGCCTGGCGAATTATCATTATTATTATTATTTTTTTAAGGAGAAAGCAAGAGGCAGAAAGAAAAGGATGGAAGGAATTTGGCAAATAGGAGAGATCCCAAAATCCCAACATATATTTTGCTCTAAAGCTCAGGAAAGTGAAAAAAAACTTTTTTCTTCCTTCTGTTAGTTCTGTGTATTTCCAGAAGGAAGAGCCTAAACATCAAGGTATAATACATATTATGGACAAAACAGAATTATGCTGGCTGGCCTGGAAACTTAAGCTTGCTTTGTTTAGTTTATACATTTTTAGGATATGATTCCTTCCTAAGCCAACTAATGCCTGCATTTTTTTTTTTGAGATGGAATTTCGCTGTTGTCGCCCAGGCTCGACTCCCGGGTTCAACCATCTCCTGCCTCAGCCTCCTAAGTAGCTGGGATTACAGGTGCATGCCAACATGCCTGGCTAATTTTTGTATTTTTAGTAGAGACAGGGCTTCATCACCATGTTGGTCAGGCTGGTCTTGAACTCCTGACCTCGTGATCCACCTGCCTTGGCCTCCCAAAGTGCTGAGATTACAGGTATGAGCTACTGCACCTGGCCAATGACAGCATTTTTAAGGTGAAATATTATATGTGGAGTGTTACACAACTGAAGAATCTCAACAAAATACATATTACTTTTAAGGCTCTAAATGACCAGAGAGAAAAAACTGTGACCATTACCTATCAAAACATTCAAGTCCTGGCCTGTACATTTCTTTTACTGTTGCCTTCAATTTCCATGTATTTTGGTTCTTCAAGTTAGCTGGATGTTCTGTGAGCTCAGGGAGCAAGTGTATACCCCTCACCTACTGAGTGTCAACACTCAAGTCTACCCACAGCATCCAACTCTTAGATTTAAACACCCAGGTTACTGTCCAATATGAGCCCCCACAGCAAAGAATGATCTGACCCTGAATGTCAATAATGTCAAGCTCGAGAATGCTGCTCTAGACTGCTCACTTTGACTCTGACAGAGGTGGCCTTGAACCACGGCGCTGCTATTTAACAGCAATTGCCCTTCAGAACAATTTCTCAACTGCTTTGGGCCCAAGTCTCCAATTTGGTAAAATAATACCTATCTCAGACAGTTCTGGGCACAAATGCATGCAATTAGAACAAAACGGCCGATGCAAAACGACCTATAGCTTTAGTTACGTTGTTACACTGGGTGTGTGTATTGGATGTTACTTTCTCTGCAGGTCCAAGTGATAAATAAAATGGAATATATAATACAAGTAGCTTGAACTTTTTTCTTTCTAGAAAGGAAACAAATATTGAGTACCTACCATGGATCAACTACTGTGTAGCCACTTAAGTCACTCCATTTAATATCAGTGTCAAGTCTTCAGCTTGACGGAGGCTATCACCTCCACTGGAAAACGAGGTTCCGAGAGGTTGTGTAACTTGCAGTAAATCAGTCCATGGAGAACTGTATTTCTAACTTTGTGTAAGTAAAACCCCAAGACACTAAGTGAACAGGGACACCTGAAAGCTGGTGGAATGGTCTCTTACGAATTCACTTTATATCAAACCCTAAAGGCCCTCTCGGACTGTCCCTTCCTCTCCATCTTTTGTCGATGTCTGGTGCTCAGATGGTCCTTCCTTTCTTACCTGCATCCCCGGCTTCTTCAACACCTGTGACCTTCCTTATTCCCTTCGGTTCACCTCAAGCGTTGCTGCCTGAAGTGCAGCTCTACTTAAATTCTGCTCAAAACCCCCTCAACGGCTCCCCTTCTTCCCAACGGAAAACGTCGTTATTTTCCATGACGGGCATTCAATAGCTTTCACCTTTGGGAACTATTATAAGTTAAAGTATTCAATGCTCCGTTAAAACCGGATGGCTCTTCTACTCTACAACGTGCCACGAGCCTTCCTGCCCAAACCTTTACTTCTACTGTTTCCTCTCTCTAGAATGCTACTTCTGACCTACCCCTGATCTAACGCTGTCCTCCAGCAGCACGCTTATCTGCACCCTCTTTCTAGCTGTCCTCACCGTACACCGCCTTGTATTACGGTGATGTGCGTCCATTTTTCACTCTTCGCTGTTTTTCCTCAAGGGTGGGCAAAAAGCACTCAGAAATGAAATACCCTGTAAGTGATCACACCTTTACGAGTGACAAAGGAAACGGAAGGGTTGTTGCAGGTGGACCAGCGGAAGGTTAAGCAGCAGCGCCTTAACCGACAGGCGACGGAGCACCTCCCCGGAGTCTTCTGATGGGAGTGTAGTCCCGTGCTGCCGCCAGGCTGGAGAGGGCGGGCGGGGAGGTGGTCCCGCATCGCTACCGTGGGCGATCGGATGAGCGGCCCCACCCAACTCCGAAGGGCGCCGGCGGCCCAGCATGGCCCCACATTCCGATCCCAGGCTTAGGCGCCGGCCTCCCCCGAGCACAGGGAGCAGGGGTGCTCGGCCGGAGACCACGGGGAGATGCAGGTTCTCGGCCTTCTCAGGGAGCACATGGCAGAGCCCCTCCTAAGCTCGCGCAGGCGCAGAGCCACGGCCTCGGCCGCCTCCCCTCAGCCCACCGCGAGCGGGTCCCTGTGCAGTTACCTTGAGGGCCTCAAGGCCCATAAGACGGGACTTGCGGTCTTGATCCTTGATGATAAGGAAAGGCCGCCCATATTCATCGAAGGCGAGGGTCCCCATGGACGCCATAGTGCAGCAGCAGGAGTTACTTTCCCCCAACCCGCGGAAACCGCTACAGAACCGAGATCTCACTTTTCTCTCGCGGGAGGGCTCGAAAGCTTGCGCACGCGCAGTACAAGACGCCCGGAACTTATGTTTCAACTAAGACTAATTTCACGCCAAACAGTATCTTCTGGAATCGGCGGCCTTCGGGAACTTCTATTAGCCAGGAAGCCGTGGGGGGAGGTTTGAAGACACTTCCTGGAAATCTTAGGACACACAAGTCAACAGCAGATTAAATTTGTCATTTCTTAAAACTTTACCAATGAGAGTTTCTCGATAGTGGGTTCCAACGAGGAATTCATTGACTTAAAGCATTATTTCCTCATTTCTTCCCACTCCGGCTGCGAGAAGATGGTAGGACCCACTTCCGTTTTTTTTTTTTTTTTAAAAAAAAAAAGCCTGTTGGAAATCTCGCGATGGAGGGAGGAGGAGGTGAGGCCCGAACTGCTTGGCGCTCCTGTGGCCGTGGGAAGGGATGCGGGTGGGCTGCGGTTTGAGGTCCCTACAGTCGAGCCGGTGGCCAGGTGCGAGCAGCTGTCCTGGTCTCCAGCCTGGCGTTCGGTGCCCAGAGCTCCAGGCCGCCGCGCCGTGCCCGCGCCGGTTTCGGCTATCGTGGGCGGCGGGCGCGTTTCCCGGTGCTAGTTTCTCTCTGCCAGGGACTGTTGTGTGCTCCTTGGGGCAAGCGACGCAGCCGTTTGCACGATCTTAAGGAATAGGGATAGTGGAGGCACACTGATGCATTGAAATCACAGCTCTGCCGCTCTTCATAGCTGTGACTTTGGGGAATTAAGCTCTTTGTCCCTCGGGTTCCTTGTCTGCAAAGTGACGGTGGTAAAGGTAGTGCTTGCCTTCCAGGGCTCCTGTGAGTTTCAGGGAGAACGGTGTCTGGCCCTTAGGAAGCTGTGTTTAAGTGTTTATTAAATTCACATTTTGCACAAAAGGTCCAGTAAGTTGCCACGGTTATACAGCTAGTAAGAGACAGAGTTGCACAGCTTGATGCAGTGGGTCCCACACCTTTTTTTTTTTTTTTTGAGACAAGGCTGTAGTGCAGACTGGAGTGCAATGGTGTGATTTCGGCTCTGCAGCCTCTGCCTCCCGGGTTCAAGCGATTCTCGTACCTCAGTCTCCCAAGCAGCTGGGTCTACAAGCACAGGCCACCACGCCCTCTAACTTTAGTATTTTCAATAGAAACAGGGTTTCACCATAGTGGCTAGGATGGTCTCGAACTCTTGACCTCAAGTGATGTGCCCGTCTAGGTCTCCCAAAGTGCTGGGATTCAGGCGTGAGCCACTGCGGTGCCGGGCTGGTCCCACTTTTAAGCCCTATATTGTGCTGCTTCAGAAAGATCTTGGCAACCGCAAAGATGTCCTCTAAATCTCTTATACTACCTCCCCTCTGCCCCCACCAAGATCATGACCTAGTATTTTATAGGTTTAGATTCATTTGTTGAGGGGTTCCAGCCTTGCTTCTCCCCTACTGCCGTAGGACAGGGACTTAACTAATAAAGTTATTTTTTCCCAGACTTTATTAGGTACTCAATAAATGTTGAAATGGATACATACACTATATAACATTTGACCCTGGCCTGAAAGTCAAGATCTGACTTGGCGCCTGTGGTCCCACCATCCCTGGGGACTGAGGCAGGAGGATCGCTGGAGGCCAGGAGTTCAGTTTACAGTGAACTATAAGCGCACCACTGCACTGCATGCTGGGTGGCAGGAGATTCTGTCTCTAAAACAAAACAGGAGGGACTGACTTTGTCATGGGATGGTTGGTGGTCAGTTAAGCTCTTAATGCTTGGCATAGTTACACTCTGGATGCAGAGTAACACTTCAAGGCCATTTTAAATTTTGAAGCCAGGTCTTATTTCACTTTAGCTTTGCCAATTCAGTGTTTCCTCATTAAAAACGGTGACTTCTGCAACTCATTTGGCTCATTCAGTTGTGAAAAATAGGAAGTGTCTCATGGCATCCTCTGTGGTTTATTTATGCTGTAGTTATTAAACTGGTATGCATACACAAGTGCACAATGAACAGTCCTTAAGAGTTGTGATATTCCAGCATAAGCCCCACTTTAAACATGTGGCTGGTTACTATTCCAGACAGGCTCCTTCCCTCTTCCTGGCCTTTTTCTTTTGGCTTGAATTTGGATAAGAACCCTGGGCACCTTATTATACACCTGTCACTGCCTCTAGCTTCAGCTGATCCAAAACTGCTACTGAAAATTGAAGTTTTCAGCCACTATTGGAAGTCAATAACCAAGCAGGGTCTGGATACCGTAGAAGTTCACCTCATCCTGTGTTTGACTTTCAAGGGTAGACTCCTCCTAAGTGCTCAATGAAAATAGCCAGTGGCCACTGCAGCTGTTCTTTAATAGAAAGACTCCTTGTTCCAAAGAACACCTGATGGAAAGTTCTTGCCATTTATTTATATTGAATAGTCTGGCAGTCTGAACATGTTCTGTTAGAAAGATTTGTAGAAACACTGTTGATTTTAGTTGTGAATATTCAGGGCCTGATTTTCACTGATGAAAGTCAATGCAGGATCTGGCCTGGAGGCACTTTGGGAGCCTGGGGTGACAGGATTGCCTGAGCCCAGGTGTTTGAGACCAGCCTGGGCAGCACAGGAAGACCCTGTCTCTACAAAAAAAAAAAAAAAATTAAAAAATTAGCCGGGTGGGGGGGCCTGTGCCTATGGTAGCAGCTACTTGGGAGGCTGAGGTGGGAGGATTGCTTGAGCCTCAGAGGTCAAGGCCGTGGTGAGCTGTGATTGTGCTACTGCACGTCAGCCTGGATGACAGAGTGAGACCCCCTCTCAAAAAAGAATCAGCTGTTTCTGCTGAATGGAACTAGCAGTGTCGTGCTGTATTGGATGTACGTTGTAACTTCTTCCAAAGCTCTGACAATCGTTATGGATCTTGATGTCCCCATGCAAATGTTTGTGATATGACGCTGAAAGACTTGCAGGCGTAACAAACTTGAGACAGAAAATAGAATTATTTAATTAAGGGACTCATTGCTCATGATGTTGGCTTTTTTAAAAACGCAAGTATTATAGTGACTTTGCTCAAAAGGTCTCATCACAGTGCACCTAGAATAAAATACACGTTTAGCCTGGCATTCAGAGGCCTGCCTTCCTGTTTATCTCTTACTTTGTGCTCAAGAAGGCTTTCCCTGCATTCCACACCTTGGTTCCAAGGCTTGCTGCTTTTGGCTCCAACTCAAACATTCTCTCTGCCAGCACCTTACTGGTCTGGTCCCGTTGTTGGAATCAGTCTTTCCTCCCCCTCTCCTGTAAGCCTGTGGTGTTTTGTTTGTGTTATAGCATTTTTCACAACCTGCCACGTGCCTGCCTCTCCTGTACCCCACCCCTTATCGGCCTAGATGGGAGACTGTGAAGACCAGGAAATGTTTATTATATCCGTTGCTGGTTGAATTGAAAGGTACATATCTACACAGGTGAAATTAAATTTGGGTCATCTGACTTGTGTTTGTTTAATAAACTTGGTGACCAAATGCATAAGCCAAATGTGGTATATCCATACAATGGAATATTATTAAGCCATAAAAAGAAATAAAGAACTGATACAAGCTGCAACATGGATGAACCTTGAAGACATGCTGTGTGAACATAGTCAGTTACAGGAGACCACACACTATACAATTCCGTTCCTCGCTCTGACACCCAGGCTAGAGTGCAGTGGTGTGGTCTTGGCTCCTTGGCTCACTGCAACCTCTGGCTCCCCGGTTCAAGCGATTCTTTTGCCTCAGCCTCCCAAGTAGTTGGGACTACAGGTGTGCACCACCATGCCTGGCTAATTTTTTTGGTATTTTTAGTAGAGACGGTTTCAGAATATTGGCCAGGCTGGTTTCAAACTCCTGACCTCAAGTGATTTGCCCGCCTCGGCCTCCCAAAGTGCTGGGATTACAGGCATGAGTCACTGTGCCTGGCCCCAGAATAGGGGATTCTTCAGACAAAATATAGATTAGTGGTTGCTTAGGGCTGGGGCCTAGAGGGTGGATGGGGGCAGTGATAGCTCAAGGATAAGGGGTTTCCTACTGAGGTAATGAAAATTTTCAAAAATTGACTATAGTGATGGTTACATATCTCTGAATATTAAAAAAAATTAAATTGTATACTTTATGTGGGCAAATTATATGTATATGAATTACATGTCAAAGCTGTTAAAAATTGAGCTCTTCCCTGCAAATGATGGTATTGAGAATAATAATAGCAATGAAGTCATTACTTAGTCTCTCAGGCTTGCGCTAAATGCTTTGTATACGTTATTCACCTGTTCCAAGAATCTTATGTTCCAAGAATCTTAGAATTATTGCAAAATCCTTTTTTTTTTTTTTTTTTTGAGAGAAGGTCTCGCTCTGTCACCCAGGTTGGAGTGCAGTGGTGTGATCTTGGCTCACTGCAACCTCCACCTCCCAGCTCAAGCAGTCCACCCACCTCAGCCTCCCAAGTAGCAGGGACCACAGGTGCGCATCACCAGGCCTGGCTAACATTTGTATTTCTGGTAGAGGTGAGGTTTTGCTATGTTTCCCAGGCTGGTCTTGAACTTCTGAGCTCAGGTGATCCACCTGCCTCAGCCTCCCAAAGTGCTAGTATTACATGCTTCAGCCACCATGCTTGGCCAATTTTGAATTGTGTTTAAACAAATTATTTCTCAGTCTTACTGAGGAGAAAACCATGCCTTAGTAACAACTTACCTTGTATTAAACAACTAATTAAGTTCTGAGACTCCAGAACTTTGTGACGCAAATCCTCTTAACTGCTGTATTGTACAACTGGAACGTCCACAGGATAATTTTTTAGTGAGGGCATGACAGATGAGCCTTGACTTGACTTTTTTTTGATACCAGCTGTCCAGGCTGGAACGTACTGGTATGGTTATGGCTCACTGCAGCCTCACCCTCCTGGGGCCAAGTGATCCTTTTGCTTCAACCTCCCAAAAAGCTGGAACTATAAGTGCATGCCACCACACGTGGCTAATTTATTTTTGGTAGAGTTGGGGTTTTGCTATGTTGCCCAGGCTGATCTTGAACTCCTGGCCTCAAGCAATCCTCCTGCCTCGGACTTCCAAAGTGCTGAGATTAAAGGCATGAGCCACTGTGCCTGGCCAACTTTTCTTAAATAACCAATTGCATGACTACCACTATAGCAAGCAGAGGCATACCTTGTTTTATTGCACTTTGCAGAGAGTGTGCTTTTTTGTTGTTGTTAGAGATAGGATTTTGCTGTTATTGCGTAGGCTGGTCTCAAACTTCTGGGCTCAAGCGATCTTCTGGCCTCAGCCTCCTGAGTAGCTGAGATTACAGGTGTGAACCAACATTCCTCACTCAGTCGTGTGCATTTTACAAATTGAAGGTTTATAGTAGCCCTACATGGAGCAAGTCTGTTGGCACCATTTTTTCAACAGCTTTGTGTTCACTTTTTGTTTGTGTGTTACATTTTGGTAATTCTCGAAATTTTTTTTTTTTTTTTTTTTTTTTGAGATGGAATTTCACTCTTGTTGCCCAGGTTGCCGTACAATGGCGCGATCTCAGCTCACCACAACCTCTGCCTCCTGGGTTCAAGCGATTCTCTTGCCTCAGCCTCCCGAGTAGCTGGGATTACAGGCATATACCACCATGCCTGGCTAATTTTTGTATTAGTAGCAGAGATGGTGTGTCTCCATGTTGGTCAGGCTGGTCTTGAACTCTCAAACTCAGGTGATCCACCCGCCTTGGCCTCCCGAAGTGCTGGGATTACAGGTGTTAGCCACTGTGCCTGGCATTCTTATAGTATTTCAAACTTTTCCACTATTTTTATATCTGTTATGGTGATCTATGATCAGGGATTTTTGATGTTTCTATCATAAGTGTTTTTGGGCTCCACAAACCATGCCCAAATAAGAGTGAACTTAACCGGTAAACGTGGTGTGTGTTCCCACTGCTGCACTGGCCAATCCTCCGTCGCTCTCGTCTCCTTGGGCCTTCCTAGTTCCTGCGACACGACAATATTGAAATTAGGCTGATTAATAACCCTACAGTGGCCTTTAAGTGTTCAAGTGAATGAGTCACACTTCTCCCACTTTAAATAAGAGACCTAGAAATTATTAAGCTTATTGAGGAAGGCATGTGGAAAACAGACAGGCTGAAAATTAAGCTTTTTGCACCAGTTAGCTAAGTTGTGAATGCAAAGAAAACGTTCTTGACGGAGATTAAAAGTGCTACTCCAGTGAACACACAAATGATAGGAAAGTGGAAAAGCCTTATTGCTGATATGGAGAAAGTTTGAGTGGTCTGGATAGAAAATAAAACCGGCCGCAACATATCCTTAAGCCAAAGCCTAATCCAGAGCAAGGCCTTAACTCTCTTCAGTTCTTTAAAGACTTAGAGAAGTGAGAAAGGTACAGAAGAAAAGTTTGAAGCTAGCAGAGGTAGGTTCGTTAAGTTTAAGGAAAGAAGCCATCTCTAGAACATAAAAGTGCAAAGTGAAGCAGCAAGTGCTGATGGAGAAGCTGCAGCAAGTTATCCAGAAGATCTAGCTAAGATTGTTGATGAAGGTTACTACACTAAACAGATTTCCAATATAGATGAAACAGCCTTCTATTGGAAGCTAGAGAGAAAGCAATTCCTAGTTTCAAAACTTCAAAGAATAAGCTTTCTTGTTAGGGGCCAGTGTAGCTGATGACTTTAAGTTGAAGCCAATGCTCATTGGCCATTCTGAAAATTATAGAGCCCTTAAGAATGATGCTAAATCTACTTTGCCTTGCTCTGTAAATGGAACAACAAAGCCTGGTTGACAGCACCTCTCTTTACAGCATGATTTGTTGAATATTTTAAGCCTACTGTTGAGACCTACTGATCAGAAAAAGGATTCCTTTCAAAATATGACTGCTCATTGATAATGCACCTAGTTACTACTCAAGAGCTCTGGTGGAGGTGTACAAGGACATTAATGTTGTTTTCATGCCTGTCAACATAGCATTCATTTTGTAGCCCAGGGATCAAGGGGTAACTTTGACTTTTAGTCTTGTTATTTAAGAAGTACATTTCATGAGGCTAGAGGTGCCATAGGTAGTGATTACACTGATGGATCTGGGCAAAGTCAATTCAAAACCGTAAGGAAAGGATTCACCATTCTAGATGCCATCAATGACGTTAATGATTTTTGAGAGGAGGTCAAAGTATCAACGTTAATAGGGGTTTGGAAGAAGTTGATTTCAACCCTTATGGATGACTTTGAGACTTAAGTGGAGGAAGTAACTGCAGATGTGGTCAAAATAGCAAGAGAATGAGAAGTGGAGCCTGGAGATGAGACTGAATTGCTGTAACCCATGGTAAAATGTCAATGGATGAGGAGTTGCTTTTTATGGATGAGCGAGGGAAGTTGTTTCCTGAGATGGAATCGACACTGGTGAGGATGCTGTAGACATTGTTGAAATGATGACAAATAACTTAGAATTTTTTCTTTTTTTTTGAGATGAAGTCTTACTTTGTCGCCCAGTCTGGAGTGCAGTGTTGTGATCTCAGCTTGCTGCAACCTCTGCCTCTCAGGTTCAAGCAATTCTTCTGCCTCAGCCTCCTGAGTAGCTGAGATTACAGGTGTGCACAACTGCACCCAGCTAATTTTTTGTATTTTTAGTAGAGACAGGGTTTCACTGTGCTGGTCAGGCTGGTCTCAAACTCCTGACCTCATGATTGCCCACTTCGCCTCCCAAAGTGCTGAGATTACAGGTATGAGCCACTGTGCCTGGCCAAGAATTTAGAATATTTTATAAACTCAGTTGATAAAGTAGTAGCAGAGTTTGAGAAGACTGACTCCAACTTTGAAAGAGGTTCTATTGTGGGTAAAATGCTGTCAAACAGCATCACATGCTGCAGAGCAATCCTTAATGAAGGGAAGACTCTATCAATGTGGCAAACTTTATCGTTGACCTATTTTTAAAAATTGCCACAACAACCCCAACCTTCGGCAACCACCACCCTGATCAGTGAACAGCCATTAACATCAAGACCAGATCCTACGCCAGTGAAAAGTTCATGACTCACTGAAGGCTCACATGGTTATTAGCATTTATTAGCAATAAACTGTTTTATAAAAATTAAAAAAAATTTTTTGAAGATAAATCAGACCAAAATGTCAAGCAAGAAAGCATTTTAAAATTAAGGTATGTACATTGTTTTTTAAACAGTGCCATTGCACACTTCATAGACTCCAGCAGTGTAAGCATAACTTTTATTAATAGTGGGAAACCAAAAATATTTGTGTGACTTGCATTACTGCAATACTCACTTTATTGCAGTGGTCTGGAACTGAATATCTCCAAGTTATTCTTGTAATTTCCTCTGTAAAATGCTAAAATTATAACTGAGATTATTAAAGTTTTTGCTTTCTATCAAATGTCATCACCTTCTTAATTTTGTTTACCACCATCACTAGCAAGCACGCCGATCCAGTGGGTATGCTGGTGATTGACCAGCTGCCCTGAGGGTGACTTGCTGCTGTGTGCCAAGTTTCGGAGTTTCTTGGGTTTAAATTTGTACTGCACCAGAATAGATTGCCACAGTTAATGGGTGTGGTGGGAAGAATAACGTCCTCTCCAGGAATGTCCACTTTCTAATTCCTGTACCTGTACAGATGTAATCAATGATCTTGAGATGGGGAGCTATCTTGGATTATTTATGTGGGCCCAATGTTGCCACGAGGGTCCCTATACATCAAGAGGGAGGCAGGCATGTGAGAGAAGGTGATGTCAGGACGGAAGCAGAGATTGAGTGATATGGGGTCAAGAGCCTAGGACTGTGGGCAGCCTCTGGAAATGAAAGAGACAAGGAAACCTCCCTGAGGGCCCCAAGAAGGAAGGTAGCCCTGCCAGCTCATTTCATACTGACCTCCATAACTGTATGATAATAAGTGGTGTTATTTTAAGCCACTAATTTTGTGGCATTTTTTTTACAGCAGTTATAGGAAATTTATAACTGCATTCGACCCTGTTCTAAGTGCTTTACCTCCATCCACTCATTTCATACTCACAATAACCCTGTGACCCCCCACTTTACAGATGAGAAAACTGAGGTTCAGCAGCGATGAGGGATTCAGGGTCACAGCATTAGTGAGGTGGCAGAGCTGGGATCCTAACTTCGGCTGGCTCTCGAGGAGTCCTGCTTTTACTTCCTGTACTGTGCTCCTCATTAATCAATTTCAAAATCAATTTCAAGTCAGTATTAATTTCAAAACCTTGAGATCCCATTTAAATGCATTTTAAAGGACAAATCTCGAGGATGTTTAAGGTGCCATTCATGTCTTTGTAATCAGTGATTGGGGTCTGCATTATTTTATACTTAGAATAGCACTGAAATGATTGTCTTATTTTTTGTTTTTTGGGGGTCTGCTTTAAAAGTCTCTTTATTACTGTGCTTATTTAAGATGTTTGGTAAAACCTGACTTTTGTGCCTTCTATTACTTTAAAATTGTATTAGTGCAACTAGATTATAAATGCCAAACCAAATTTGATGTGGAATCCTTTAATTCTACATGAAATCGGGTAATAATTAGACATCTTTATGCTTATTTGTTTTTGAGACTTTGTTAGTTCAGAACATAAAAATGTGTAGTGCATGATTAAAATTTGTGCTAATGGATATTAAATTAATAAATTACCCGATAAGTTTGAATGCATTGTTTTCTAAGGATGACTCCTAGACACATAAAAAATCAATATGTTGGAAAGAAAAGATTTTAGCCTTCCTGTAGTATTGAATAATGCTCTCCAAAATACCTTAATAGGATTTAGAACTTATTGTGGGATCCTACGCTTGGCATTTAGCTTGTATTCAGCTAAATTATCCTTTAAAAAGCATGAGTTTATTTGTCAATGAGAATTGTAGAAAAAAATACTATCTTGGATTTCAGATTTGGTGCTATGTGTGTCTTTTCTGCTTGCTTTTATCTAGGTGTACCCCTAGAGGCACTTAAAGAAGAAAGCCAGTCAAGACATATTATACCTGCAAGTTTTGAAGCCAACAGTTTGCAGAAAAGCAACTGGGGGTTCTTACTTACTGGACTTGTGGGCGGGACCCTGGTAGCTGTGTATGCTGTAGCCACGCCGTTTATAACGCCAGCCCTTCGAAAAGTCTGTTTGCCGTTTGTACCTGCAACTACAAAGCAGATTGAAAATGTTGTGAAAATGTTGCGATGCAGAAGAGGATCCCTTGTAGACATCGGTAGCGGCGATGGACGCATTGTGAGTTCTGCTAAAACATTTTAAGATTTGGAATCAGAACTTAAAATTTCTGCTTGACATTTAGTAAGGCTTATACAAAGACTTATTAAATCTGACAGCTTGAAAGAGTGCTCATTTCATTTTGTGTTTGTTTGACCAAACTATTAAACTACCGGTGTGTTTGGAATTCATTTTTCCCGGATTTAATTTGTTCTTAAAGGAGGACGTACGCTGTAGACATGCCAGGTGAAAAAGACCCAAATACTTGGGCCAACAGAGGTGGCATAATGAGAAGAAACATGCTAAATCGTGGCGTTTCACTTTTTTACATTTTTCCCCATAGCTGTTTGCTTCCATATTTGTTTGTATTCATCCATGTATAAGTAATAATTCCTGTGGGGTAATGTAGAGTTAAAATAAGGAAGAGCCAGTGAGTAACCTTTGCTAAGCCAAAGATCGGACTTTTTTAGCGAACTTCTCTCACTTGATCCCAGTTGGGCACCTATAAATAAAGACGAAAGGCCACTGACGGGCAAGTGGGTGTCTCAGAGCAGCTTCCTCTGTGGGCGGGGTGGCACCATCCTTAGCTTCATCCCAGTGATGAGCCAAACAGTCTCAGCAGCAGCAGAAAAGTCTGGTCCTATGGAAGCATTTAGTGTAAAGGCCCACAGGGCTCTGTTACCTCTCACCAGCTCCTACACACAGACACTGTGATTTTGTGATTCTGAGCTGGAATAATCAGGATGAGGTTAAAAAGTAAGATTTTTACATTTTGATTTTTTTTTCTTTTAAAATCGTGTTAAGATACACATACCATAATGTTTACCATTGTAACCATGTGCAGGTGTACGGTTCACCGTATGAAGCACATTCACGTTGCTGTGCCACCATCACCACCCCCCATCTCTAGGATACTTTTCATCTTGCAAAACCGAAATTCTGTCCCAATTAAATAATAACTTTCTATTCCCCTCCACCCCTTATCCTCTGGGAGCCACTATTTGTTTTTAAGAAATGTATTAATGGCGAGGCGCGGTGGCTCAGGCCTGTAATCCCAGCACTTTGGGAGGCCGAGGTGGGTGGAACATGTGATCAGGAATTCGAGACCAGCTTAACCAACATGGTGGAAAATACGTGTTGGTCAAGCTGTACTAAAAATACAAATACCTGTCTGTACTAAAAATACAAAAATTAGCTGGGCATTGTGGCAGGTGCCTGTAATCCCAGCTACTCAGGAGGCTGAGGCAGGAGAATTGCTTGAACCTGGGAGGTAGAGGTTGCAGTGAGCTGAGATTGCGCCACTGCACTCCAGCCTGGGTGACAGAGTGAGTCTCTGTCTCAAAAAAAAAAAAAAAAAAGGAAATGTATTAGTCTGTTTTCAAGCTGCTGATACTGAGGCTGAGCAATTTACAAAAGAAAAAGGTTGATTGGTGTTACAGTTCCACGTGGCTGGGGTGGCCTCACAATCACGGTAGAAGGTGAAAGGCAAGGAGGAACAAGTCACGTCTTACATGGATGGTGGCAGACAAGGAGAGAGTGTGTGCAGGGAAACTCTCCCTTATAAAACCATCAGATCTCATGAGACTTATTGACTATCATGAGAATAGCATGGGAAGGACCTGCCCCCATTATTCAGTTACCTCCACCACATCCCTCCCACAACATGTGGGAATTCAAGATGAGATTTGGGTAGGGACACAGAGCCAAACCATATCAAGAAACTGAGGAGAAACTTTTACCGTCCATATTAGAATGCTTTATGTGTTTGAACAATATATTTGTGGTTTTGAGAAAATGTTTTCTTGCAGCACTGTAGTTACCTGGGAACTACCTTAGAGGGGATAGCTGGGTCAAGGGGTGCTCCCTTAAAGAATGAGGCAGGACAGAATGGACAGAGTGAACCCAGGACCGCCCCACATCCCTCCCACTCTCTGGAGGCGGATTCATTTCATTTTACCTTTACCTGTTTCCAGTTTTGAGTGAACAGTCATTAGCTACAAAGGAAATATGTATTCATTGCAGATTTTTCATTGACAGGTTATTTTTATTGCATATAGTCCCTTGTTCACAAAACCGTCTTCCCAGATATGTTCATTTCCCTCCTGCTGTGCTAGCCCACTGATGGAGAGATGCAGCGGATTTTCAGCAATGTTTTGTTCGACCTCCCCTGGGGTTGGCTCACCTAGATCAATTATGGAGGTTTTCAAAGTGAACCTGAATGTCTATTTTGATACTTCAGGTGAAATCTTCAGCCAATCAAGAAAACTGAGTTACATGGGTTGACTATTACCTTGTCCACAAAGCTTTATCACTTTAGAGATATATCTTTCAATGATGTCTTATTCACAGGAGACACTTTTTGATGGGATGTTTAAACCATCGATAGGAAATACATTGTTTGACCTTGTACGTTCATTTTTTCTTCTAATTTTGAATAAATCTTGCCTCTCTCCACAGGTCATAGCGGCTGCAAAGGAAGGGTTCACAGCAGTTGGTTATGAATTAAATCCATGGCTAGTTTGGTACTCCAGATACCGCGCTTGGCGAGAAGGTGTGCATGGTTCTGCCAAATTTTATATTTCGGATTTGTGGAAGGTATGTAAGGCAGAGAACAGCGCTAGAGAAATCCAATGGAAAATTGTGTTATTCAAAATTAGTATGACTGAAAACTGAAAAATGTTAAAAAGAATTAAAATCCAAATGAATATCCTGGCATAATGAAACGTGTAAAATTGATAAATTTTACCAATAGTCTACTTTAGAGAGACGCTTAAAGTTTTTATATGATAGGTCTTGTGAATTTCAAGAATTTATTTACAAAATTAAAGTGTTCTCATTTCTGTTTCTTACAAAATAATGAGATTTTTCATCTTATTTGGAAATCCTATAAATTATTATTGATGTTAGACTTTCTGTTTGTGTGCCTGTGTGTGTGTGTGTGTGTGTGTGTGTGTGTGTGCATGTTTGTGTATTTAGAGAGATACGGAGATGGGTGTTAGAGAATTCTGCTGTCATGGTTATTTCTTATCCTCGTAAAGTATAAGCTCCAAATTTATCTGTACTCTAAAAATGCCCTGTAATTTTGCTTTAGGATTGTTCCATGAAATGCTTTTTCTTAAATAAGAATTTTCCATTGTAATATTGTCATCAGTAGCTTACAGAAATTCACTTGAGTTTTGCTTGCATTGTTTTCTTATACCATATGTGCATAAACGATCTCTCTATAGAGTAAATAAGACTTTTATTGGGCAATAAGAATTTTAACTGGCAAAGCACATTTCCCCCCAGTTTTTCAACTAAAGAGCATTTTATTGCACTTTTTTTACATAGTATTTTAGAGATGAGGAGGGGGACTCGAATTTTCAGGATGGTTCAAGAAAAAAACAGATGGTTGTGAAGTCTCTTGCGTTCTGGTGAAGCTGGTTTGGCGTAGAGTGGACTGGTGCGTGTGGCTCTGGTGCCACTGGCTTAGCCACGAGCTGGTCACAGTGGGGTCATTAGCCATCTGACACATGACCACTGGGGCGCACCCTGCATGGAGTTGCCATGAGGATGAGATGGGATGACTTACAGGGAAGCATTTGGAAACCAATGGATTGAATTAAAATGAATGAAAGCATGAACATGTTCTTTCCTTGTGAAATCGTAGGGAGGGCCACCCTTTTTAGGAGTTTGTCAAAACCCACCGTTTCATACAGTGGAAAACTGCTACCCATTTCTGTGACACAAGTTAAGCTTAACGTTTGTTTTTTTTACACTTAATCTACCGATTGCTTTCCCCCCTTGTTTAGGTTACTTTTTCGCAGCACTTGAACGTTGTTATTTTCGGTGTGCCTCAGATGGTGAGTACGCACTTCCCTGCTCTCTGTTTGGGGTTAGGGGATGTTGAAGGCCCTTCAGCCGCACTGCCATCACTCACCCGTGTGCGGTGATGGCCTCCCGGATGTCTTAGGGAATACTGGATTTCAGTTCATTGAGTGAATAAAATATCAGAGTCTTAGAGGTTTAATCATACAAAATTCAGTCACATTTTTAAACTTTGGCTTTAGATGAAATTCTCAGTGCCTTAAAAATTCCAATTTGGAAGCTGCTTTATGAGGTTCCAGTGTCTAATGCAGCTTGCAGTTTTCACAGCCGCTCACTTCCACTTGGCTGAAATCGCCCGGGAAAGTTAATGGGATGTTCCCTCTGAATTGATCATTCCTCCCATTTGGCAGGAAGATCATTTTCTGGGTGGATGAGCATTGAGTAGTTTCAGTTTACCTCAGTTTACTGATTTGCCAAAGAATGGCGTATTGAACTTTGGTTATGAACTTTCAAAAGTGAAAATGCTGCAGTATTGTACTGGAAATGGCCCTCCTTAGCCTTTGGAAGGATGGTCATGGTGGGAAGCTTTTACTGTAATTGCTGCTGCACAGACCATGGAAAGAAATCCCTTTTCCCTTTTCAAAGTCTATCATTTTAGCTATAATAAAATAGGCAGAATGGGATTTTTGCTAAAATGCTGCAATACAGCTGATATAGTTTTAATTTTTTTAAAAGGCAATTTACTTTTTTGTTATTTTGTTTTTTTATTAATACCTGAATTTTTGTATAAGATATTTCAGTGCTTGAGAAATTTATTTCTACCACTAAGACCTTCGCTGCCATGCCATATTCTTTAATTTTAAAAGATAATTTAGAAATGCTTTTGTAAAAAAAATTTTTTTTTTTTTTTTGAGACAGGGTCTTGCTCTTGCGGAGGCCAGAGTGCAGTGACATGATCTCGGCTCACTGCAACCTCTGCCTCCTGGGTTCAAGCAGTTCTCCTGCCTCAGCCTCCTGAGTAGCTGGGAGTACAGGTATGTGCTACCATGCCCAGCTAATTTTTATATTTTTAGTAGAGATGGGGCTTCCTCATGTTGGCTAGGCTGATCTCGAACTCCTGACCTCAAGCGATTTGCTGGCTTTGGCCTCCCAAAATGCGAGGATTACAGGTGTGCGCCACTGTGCCCGGCCTTGTAAAATATTCTTGAAAGTGACAGTATCCTGTACATTTATAATTCTCATTAGGCCTAAAATTAAGACCAAACTTTGGTATCCACCCTTTTCTTATAACAGTGAAATGAGGTAGACGGGCACACTCCCTGGTTATTTTTTTTTTTTATTTTTTAATGTTTATTTTATTTTAATTTTTATTTTAATAATTTATTTAACTTTAGGTGCATACTATATCTAGCATTTCTCCCCATGTTATCCCTCCCCACCTTCCCCTCTCTCCCCACTTCCCTCTGTCTCTCCTCTGCCACCCCATACTGCCCCCAGTATGTGATGCTCCCTCCCTGGTTATTTTTAAAAAACTAATTGGGATCATAGATTGATATGTAATTTTGATGGTGATTTACTACCTGTGATGTTTGGGCTTTCCTTCTAAAATGGAATAGTTGGCTTTTTGGAGACAAGTAACTTTAATTTGAATCCGTGCTTTATAAAAATAGAAAGTTAGCATGTAGTGGAAATTCCATGCTGTGTGAGAGGCAGGTTGATGAAACCAGGGTTACTTGTCCCAGCAGGGGGCAGCAGTGGCCTTCAGTAGTCATCGTCACGTCAGGACTGTGGAGCCAGCCCTGGGTGCTTCTTACCTTGTTTGGAGCAGGCTCACTCACTTTTTGGAGCTGTTCCGTCAGGGGAAATCAGAGTCTTCTTATTTATGGATGCTTTTGCGATTAATGTCCATTCTTCTGTATGAGAGAAATCTGAAATAAGGAACATGTAGCATTTCACCATTCCCAAGGAAAAAGGGAGCAGCTGAAAGACACAAAGTGTCCATGTTCCCTGTAATGACAGAGATGTGGCCAGCTTGCAGTTTCCACGCTGGTGGGTCGGCCAGGGGTGCAGAGGCCGGAGTGGCTTCTGTTTATTTGGAAGGCTGGGTTTTGTGCGTGGAGGCCTCCACTTCAGCCTTCATCAAGCTGTGTCTCAGTAGAGGCCATGAGGGGAGGGAGAGTGTGCTGTGCCAGTTGACCATGCCAGCCGTGGCTGGGTGACTCCACAAAGCCAGCGTGCCATGAGATGTTGCTGTGGCAGCTGATGCCCAGGAAGATACTCAGAGAGCCAGGGAGCCTTGGGGAGGTCCAGAGCCGGAATTCCTGGGACTATAAACCCTTACCCCTGCTTCTCATGCCAGACTGATGATCCCTAACAGCTCTGTGCAGTAGTGGCTCAACATCAGAGGTGCCCAGCAGTTCCGCACAAGTCTGTATCTAATGGAAAAGGGGCAGGAATCCCATTTGGAACTGGTCAAGCCAGCCCAGGGGTGGTAAATATCCACGTTTAACATGAGCTTATGTACTGAGAGCATCTTTTCAAAGTGCAGAGCAGATCAACCTTGTTCTTGTATAAAACCCTTCTGTGACTTCTTGCTGTTTTTAGGAATAAGGCCCAAACACTCAGTGTGGCCCTCAGGCTGGTGTGCAGTGACCCCCGTGCCCCTCCAGCCTCCCCTGGGCCATGCTGCCTTCAGCTGTCTACACCAGCCCTCCGTCCTCTCGTCCCCCTGCACCTCGCCGTTGTGGCTCTTCCCAGGGCCTGGGGCTGTGTCCTTCCCTCTGACTGTGGTCCCCTTGGTTCTGGGCTCTACTGGTGAACAGCACTGACCACTCATGGGCCAGCTGGCTTTTCCTCTGGGCGGCAGTCCTTGATGCCTGATGAGGACAGCTCCAGCGGCCCGCGTTGCACTCATATAGTACCTTGGTGCCCTGTCCTTAGACGGGCTATTGTGCATTTCTTGGCCTGAAGTCTTCGACAGTGCTTGCTGTGTGCACTACACCATCAGCTCAGGGGCAGGGCCCAGGCCTGTCCCCTTTCAGCTGGCCCAGGCCTCCAGCACTGCAGGACTAGCACAGGTATCACTCAGTGAACGGTTGTAGAATGAATGAATGTAGTCTAAGTAAAACCGTTACTTATGCTTTTCCCAGAATGCTATCTACTTTCATAACTTCGAAGAATGGCTAATTTAATTTTAGTTACAAATTCTGTGATGATTTCTTTTCTTTTTTTTGAGACAGTTTCGCGTTATTGCCCAGGCTACAGTGCAGTGGCACGTGATCTTGGCCCACTGCAGCCTCAGCCTCCTGGGCTCAAGTGATCGCCTGTCTGAGCCTCCCTGGTAGCTGGGAATACAGGCATGTGTGTGCCACCGTATCTGGCTGATCGTTTAATTTTTTGTACAGGCAGAATCTCACTCTGTTGCCCACGCTGGTCTCGAACTCCTGGGCTCAAGCAATCCTGCTGCAGACTCCCAAAGTGTTGGGATTACAGGCGGGAAGCACTATGCTTGACTGTCATGAATTGACAAACAAAAATATTATCATCATGTTGTAGTAAGGAAAAATAATTCACGGCTGAATCACTTTTTCTTCCTTTCTTCATTCATTTGACAAGTGTGGGCACTATAGCAAGCCCTGTTCTAATCGCTTGGAATACTTCAGTGAGTACCAGAGAAAACACCCCTGCCCCGGGTGCTGATATGCTAGTGAGGAGAGAAGATACTGTGTGAGACACCTGCGGACAACGCATCATACAGCAGAATCAAAAGTGCTGTGGAGCAAAGCAAAGCAAGGCGGGGTGGGGCAGGGACAGGATCCCTACAAAGGTGACCTTCGAGGGTAGGGAGGGGGCGTGCAGAGAAGAGTGCCCTGGGCAGGGTGGGGGCAGTGCGGCAAGCAGGCAGGTGTGGCATGAGTGTGTGTGGGGAGGTCAGAGAGGAAGCAGGATGGGAAGGACCCCAGCCCTTGGAAGGGCAGGAGCCTTGAGTGAGCAGAGAGGAATGCAGGGCTGACTGGGCTTGAGAAGGGTCACAGGCTTCCATGTGGAGGTGGGCGTGGGTACAAGCTGGGAGGCAGGTTATAAGTTCTTGTAGGTGTCCAGGCCATGGAGTAGCTGGTGAGAAGCGTCAGATTCTGCGTGCATTTGAAGACAGAATCCACAGGATTAGCTGGCAGCTCTAATGTGGGGGAGAGAGATGGAGGCGGGGTCACGGGCAGCCCCAGGGTGCAGGTCCGAGCTACTGGAAGTTTGGAGTGGCATTGGGAAGTGGAAGCTTGTGTCTAGCACCTTCGACCACTGGGCCGTCCTGCCACACACTCAGGGTTGCCTTGAGCTACGCTGGGGAAGGTGCAGGCGGAGCTGGCTGGGAAAGTCAGCATGGGCATGTGAAGTGTGGGTGTGCATGAAGTCAGGCTGGCAGTGGTGGGTGAGAAGGAGTCTGCGGTTCAGGCCAGAGGGCGGGCTGGAGATGTAGGTCTGTTGGGCATCAGTGCATAGAGTGAGGAGCATGAGGGTGAACAGTCGAAGGCCTGAGCTCTGGACCCTGGCATTAGACGTCTGGGAAATGAGGGGCAACCAGTGGGACTCAGAGAAGGGAACCTGGGGAGGAGGAAGTGCCAGGAGTGGGTTGCCCTGGCAGCCCAGTGTAGCTGGTTCCTGGGAGGCGGGGGTTGTGTGTGGCAGGGCTGGGTTATCTTATGCCTTTGAGCTGTTTTCTACCTGTGTTTAAAGTTTCGAAGACGTAATTAGAATAGGATGAATTCATGTCACTTTGAACCTATAATTGTATGAATAGTTTTGAATTCCATTAGGCAGACATGACACATCACGGCTTCTCTTTGTGTATGATATCAAGGACCAGATTTGTTGCATATTTATGTGTAATTTAGTCAGTTAATTTCTTATGATGGAAATAGTGCCTTTCATTTTAAGGTTTATCTTGACTTAGCATATGACAATCATTTGGAAATAAAAGAAACTGTAAAAGAGAAAAGAATAATAGCATCATGAATAAGTTTATAATTATCCTTTTTATGAACAAAATTACCATAAGAAATCTCTGATATTTTGGAAAAACGCATATTGTTTCATTCTTTGCTTATTTAATTTTTTCCCTCAAGGAACAAAACTTTTTTTTTTTTTTTTAACTCTATTCTGGCTGTTAAAAGAATAGAAATCCCTCCATCCTTAATAGAATTTATTCTGTGTTATCTTGGCATTGATTCTAATGAAGAATTAGAATTTTGGTTAATTCCAGCTATAGGTCATGTAGCAGAGATTTTCTAAGCACTTTTATAAGATATAGGTCAGGAATAAAACCATCATAGCTCTATCAATTTCATCTTGCTTTAACCTGTTGCTTTTTAGAGGAGTAATTTTTGCTTAGGTCTTGGTTTCTAAATATCATCTCTCACTAAGAGGAACCAGGAATCTTTGAGGAAATGGCTGAATGAGGGCTGGGGAAGGGAAGGTAGAAAGCCAGGAACATTTTGTTGAGCCAGAATGTAAGGAAGTGCTCACAGTATTTGATGGCAGCATGTCCAAAGGACAGAGAAGCCAGAGGCAGGAGCCTCCCAGCGGCCAAATTCAGACAGTTTGAGCATTTGAATACACAAGAACAGTAATGGATTATAACCCATCAAATGAAATAAGAATACAGGTGTTTGTCCTTACAACAGATCGGTAGACAAGGAGAGAGAGAGAGGGAGAGCCGGTGAAGGGAAAGCCCTTCCTTATGGTAGAGTGCTGACTCTACATGTAGAAGAAAGGACAGAATTAGCAGATTGATGCAGGCCAGAATTGTCCATGAGTGCTACTTGGGACTGTCCGTTGAGTAACAGGATGTTTACATCATCTCAAAGCATCTCTTCATGAATGTGTATAAACTACTTATTATATAAGGAAAAACAGCAACTGCACAGTGGAGACACTGGATCCCACCTTCACTGCATGGTTAATCCCATCATCAAGAGCAGAAGGGCTTCCTACATGTCTGTGGAGCCCTGGTAAGTTACAGCCTCACAGGTGGAGTGTTGCCAAAGACCACACGCTGCACCATGCATGAGCATGCATCATAGGACCCACGCCAGGGCCACTCCGTACGGTAACTGAAGAATGTTATTGTCACGAAAACCAAAGAAGGATTGAGGAACTGTTTTCCATCTAAGGAGACCAAAGAAATGTTATGGCTAAATGCAAAAGTGATTCTGGATTGGACCCTGCCCCCGGGAAATGTTATACAGACCATTACTGGAACAATGACAGAATTGCAGTGTGATTGGAATTATTATATTGGAATACAATGTTAAATTTTCTGAATATAACTGTGCTGGGATTATGTATGAACATATTTTTCTTAGAAAATACACATTGAAGTATTAAGGGGGAAAAGGAGCATATCATATGCAACCTTTTCTCCAATGGTTTAGGGGAAAAATGTTCAAAGAAACAGGAAGAGAACAAATGTGACAAAATGTTGAAAATTGGTAAGCCGATAGGCCAGGTGCAGTGGCTCATGCCTGTAACCCCAACGCTTTGAGAGGCTGAGGAGGGCAGATGGCTTGAACTCATGCGTTCGGGACCAGCCCAGGCAATATGGCAGAACCCCATCTCTACAAAATTAGGAGGTTGAGGTGGGAAGATGGTTTGAATCCAGGAGGCGGAGGTTGCATTGAGCCAGGATTGCACCAGTGCACTCCAGCCTGGCCTATAGACCTTGTCTCAAAGGAGGTCTTTGTTCTATTATTGCAACTTTTCTGGAAGTTTGAAATTATCCCAAAATAACAAGTTAAAAGAAGAAAGTAGAAAAAAAGGTATTTTTAGGAAGTGAAGGTGGTGAAGGTAGTAATATATTTTTAGGATCTGCAGATCCATTTTTAAGTAGTTGTTAATTTGTTGATGTAATTAAAATATCAATACTTTTAGCAAATAATAAAAACTCTATTGGTAGATTGATAATAAAATGATACAACTGTGATATAAGTTATACTATCAAATTCATTATCAGTATGTTATGGATACATTTTTAAGAATTATGAAATATTTCATGATACTTCCGGTTGGTGGAATTGTGTATATTTTTTCATGGTCGAACTATACCACACTTCGTTGACTGTAAATGTTGATTTTAGAATGCACTGTTGCTATTGAGAAACAGAAAAAAATTGCCAATTATAATTCTAAGACAACGTCAGTTGTGTAATGTGTCCTGATTTCAGAGACGCTAAAAATGTGGAAAAATGTAGTCGGGTGCTGTGGCTCACACCTGTAATCCCAGCACTCTGGAAGGCTGATGTGGGCAGATTGCTTGTGTTCAGGAGTTTGAGACCAGCCTGGCCAACACAGCAAGACCCCCCATCTCTTTTAAAAAAAGGTGGAAAAAAATAATGTCTTAAATATCTAAGTATATTGAAGCGTTGAAGTAAGTTATTTAAAACTGCTTCTTATTATAATTACTGCCACATTCTGATTTTATTCAGAAAACTATAAATCTATGATAGACATCTGCCAAAAATGACACATTTTATAATTAATACTAGAAGATGTTCTTACAGCTGCTGCCAGTGTATCTTCTGTATTTTAGTGGCTTGTTTGTTCATGTGTGTGTGTCCCAGAGTGCTCTTTTTTCACAAGTAGTAATTTTTGCTCAGGTATTTTCAGGGATTCTTAAATACAGAAGAACCTTTTGGGATCATTTCCTCAGACTCACTGCCCCCTACAATAATAGCTGTTAATCTCCACAGATGCTGCAGCTGGAGAAGAAACTTGAACTTGAACTTCAGGATGATGCAAGAGTCATTGCTTGCCGGTTCCCTTTCCCACACTGGACCCCGGACCACGTCACTGGGGAGGGGATAGACACGGTGTGGGTGTATGACGTGAGCACTTTTAGAGGCCGTGAAAAGAGGCCCTGAACATCGATGCCCTTCCAGCCGGCCATTCGGGCATAAACTTTACTGAGAGTGCTTTTCTGAAACGTTGGTCATCTTCCCTGATCTGATAGAGACTTACAGCTGTGTCTTTAGCAAAGGAGCACAATTGTCTTTGGTTTGGAATGGGAAATTACTATTAGTTTCCGTAACTTTTGGAGAAAACAAACAGAAGGCAAACAGGTAGATTTAAAATCCGCTTTTGATGCCTTCTTTTTTCTTAAAAAATGTATTTACTGGCTTTTCATGGACCTGGATGCAGAAAATTTGAGTAAGTGATGGTCATGCTTATGGGTAGAAAAGATATCAACCGCTCTTCACATTATAAACGATGTGGCTTAGTGCCACCATAAGGAGAAATGATTTTTAAAGACAGTATATTATTACCAAACGTTTGCAGTGTCCTATAACTTTGTTCATACTTAAGTTTTATCTCTTTCCTTTTTGTACTTCAAAATTAATTTTCTAAAGGATTCAGAGAGGTGTTTATATTTTATAACATTTATTAGAAATAATTTGTTCTACCACCAGATTACTGTATTTTAGTTTATCTAAGATGTATATGTGTACATGTATGTGTAAATGTAAGCCTGACCTGAATTCAGATTCCTGTTTTGTCATCGGCAAGAGGCCCTCGACCTGTGACTTACTGCCTCTGAGCCTTGGCTTCCTGTGTGTCCCTGCCACTGGGATAATGGTACTCGTAACAGTGGATGGGGGCCCAGTTTGTGAAACTCATGGCACCTAGTCTTGGTCCATAAATTGTGTTTGTTATTTTAGACACTGAGAAAAAGCTTATTCACAGAAGCTTTTTCTGGTAGTCACTTTTTTATTTCTGTTTTTTTTTTTTTTTTTTTTTTTTTTTGAGACGGAGTTTCACTCTTGTTACCCAGGCTGGAGTGCAATGGCGCGATCTCGGCTCACCGCAACCTCCGCCTCCTGGGTTCAGGCAATTCTCCTGCCTCAGCCTCCTGAGTAGCTGGGATTACAGGCACGCGCCATCATGCCCAGCCAATTTTTTGTAGTTTTTTTTTTTTTTAGTAGAGACGGGGTTTCACCATGTTGACCAGGATGGTCTCGATCTCTTGACCTCGTGATCCACCCGCCTCGGCCTCCCAAAGTGCTAGGATTACAGGCGTGAGCCACCACGCCCGGCCACTTTTTTATTTCTTGAGAGCTCCCACTTATTTAATATTTCTCATTTGGGAGAAGAGACTTGACTGATTTAGATAAAAGAGGAATTAACGAAAACCTTTGAACATGAGTGGACAAGCTTCATATATCTGTAAAGTGAATATTGAGTGGTAATTTGAATAATTCATGCTTATCACAGAAAAGAATTGAACTCCCAGTCATACACCTGTAACCAAAATATCAAACTGTCTTAATGGAGATGTAATGAAGTAAGATGATTGCATCTTTAAACTTATAAAAATATGGTCGGTTGGATAATTTTCATTTAAAGAGAACCATCTGGGGACACATTCATTCATTCATTCAACAAATAGGTGTTCAGTATCTAGTGTGGAAGAAGCTCTGCGATTCTGCAGTGAATAGACACACAAAACCCCTGACCTCATTGAATTCCTATTCTGGAAAGGAGAGACAAACAGATAAGCAAGTGACTCTTAGTGTGTGCAGAGTTCTCTTTAAGAAATAAACAGTGTGATGGTGTAGAGAGCACCTGTGTGAGTCTGAGATGAGGGGCTGGGATGTTGTGGACTTTAGCCAGGTTTTTGGCAGCTACTGTCTATCCCCTTAACACTAGCTCCAGTCTCCTTATGAAGAATGAGTTCTTTCTGTGGTGGTGGCTTTGGTGGGAGGGCAGCTCTTGCTCTGTGCCTCTCAGTTGCCTTCCATTGTTGCTAGTCCTGTAATTGGCTTGGGCACACTCAGAGGGGGATCCATGGTAGCTCCTTGCCATGAAGATATGAGTAGAGGAGGGTTCTGTGGAGCCGTGGAGGTGTTTAACAATTTCTAGAAGTGTTCCTGGTGGATTTATAGAGGCATTGATATGATTTGGCTGTGTTCCCACCCAAATCTCATCTTGAATTCTCATGTGTTGTGGGAAGTATCTGGTGGGAGGTAATTGAATCTTGGGGGCAGGTCTTTCTTGTGCTGTTCTTGTAAGTCTCATGAGATCTGATGGTTATTTTAAGGGGGAGTTTTCCTGCAGAAACTCTTTTTGCCTGCCACCATCCACATAAGATATTCCAGCCACGTGGAACTGTAAGTCCAGTTAAACCTTTTTCTTTTGTAAATTGCCCAGTCTCTTTACCAGCAGTGTGAAAATGGACTAATACAGTAAATGGTACCAGGAGTGGTATGTTGCTGAAAAGATACTAAAAAATGTGGAAGCAACTTTGGAACTAGATAACAGGCAGAGGTTGAAACAGTTTGAGGGCTCAGAAGAAGACAGGAAAGTGTGGGAAAGTTTGGAACTTCCTTGAGGCTTGTTGAATGGTTTTGACCAAAAGCCTGATAGTGATATGGACAATAAGGTCCAGGCTGAGGTGGTATCAGATGGAGATGAGAAACTTCTTGGGAACTGGTGCAAAGGTGACTCTTGTTATGTTTTAGCAAAGAGACTGGTGACATTTTGCCCCTGCCCTAGAGATTTGTGGAACTTTGAGCTGAGAAAGATGATTTAGGATATCTGGCAGAAGAAATTAAGTAGCAAAGCATTCACGAGGTGACCTGGGTGCTGTTAAAGGTACTCAGTTTTGTAAGGGAAGCAGAGCGTAAAAGTTTAGAAAGTTTGCAGTCTGACAATGTAATAGAAAAGAAAAACACATTTTCTGAGGGGAAATTGAAGCTGGCTGCATAAATTAGCATAAGTAAGGAGGAGCTGAATGTTCATCCCCAAGACAATGGGGAATATGTCTCCAGGGCATGTCAGAGGTTTTCATGGCAGCCCCTCCCATCACAGGCCTGGAGGCATAGGAGAAAATGGTTTCGTGGTCCAGGCCCAGGGTCCTGGTGCTATGTGTAGTCTAGGGACTTGGTACCCTGCATCCCAGTTGCTCCAGCTGTGACTAACAGGGGACAAGGTACAGCTCAGGCTGATGCTTCAGAGGGTAGAAACCCCAAGCCTTGGCAACTTCCACGTGGTGTTGACCCTGGGGGTGCACAGAAGTCAAGAATTGAGGTTTAGGAACCTTTGCCTAGATTTCAGAAGATGTATGGAGATGCCTGAAGGCCCAGGCAAAATTTTGTTTCAGGGGTGGGTCCTCATGGAGAACCTCTGCTAGGGCAGTGTGGAAGGGAAATATGGGATCGGAGCCCCCCCACAGAGTCCTTAACTGGGGCACCACCTAGAGGAGCTGTGAGAACAGGGCCAACCCCAGAATGGTAGATCCACTGACAGGCTGCACTGTGTACCTGGAAAAGCCACAGACACTCAACACGAGCCCGTGAAAACAGCCAGGAGGCAGGCTATACCTTGCAAAGCCACAGGGATGGAGCTGCCCAAGACCATGGGAACCCACTTTTGCATTAGCATGACTGGGATGTGAGACATGAAGTCAAAGGAAATCATTTTGGAGTTTTAAGAGTTGACTGCCCTGCTGGATTTTGGACTTGCATGGGGCCTGTGGCCCCTTTATTTTGGCCAATTTCTCCCATTTGGAATGGCTGTATTTATCCAATTTCTGTACCCCCATTGTATCTAGGAAGTAACTAACTTGCTTTTGATTTTACAGGCTCATACGTAGAAGGGACTTGCATTGTCTTGGATGAGACTTTGGACTGTGGACTTTTGAGTTAATGCTGAAATGAATTAAGACTTTGGCTGCATAGTATTCCATGGTGTGTATGTGCCACATTTTCCCTGTCCAGTCTATCATTGATGGGCGTTTGAGTTGGTTCCAGGTCTTTGCTATTGTAAATAGTGCTGCAATGAACATTCGTGTGCATGTGTCCTTATAGTAGAACGATTTATGATCCTTTGGATATATACCCAGTAATGGGATTGCTGGTTCAAATGGAATTTCTATTTGTAGGTCCTTAAGGAATCGCCACACTGTCTTCCACAGTGGTTGAACTAATTTACACTCTGCCTGTTCTCACTCATAGGCAGGTGTTGAACAATAAGAACACATGGACACAGGGAGGGGAGCACTACACACTGGGGTCTGTTGGGGGAAAATAGGGGAGGGACAGTGGGGGGTGGGGAGTTGGGGAGAGACAGCATGGGGAGAAATGCCAGATATAGGTGAAGGGGAGGAAGGCAGCAAATCACACTGGTATGTGTGTACCTATGCAACAATCTTGCATGTTCTTCACATGTACCCCAAAACCTAAAATGCAATTTAAAAAAAAAAGACTTCGGAGGACTGTTGGGAAGGCATGATTGCTTTTTAAATGTGAGGACATGAGATTTGGGAGGGGCTGGGGTGGTTTGGCTGTGTCCCCACCCAGATCTCAGCTTGAATTCTCACATGTTGAGGGAGGGACCCAGCTGGAAGTAATTGAATCACGGGGGCAGGTCTTTCCCATGCTGTTCCTATGATAGTAAGTCTCATGAGATCTGATAGTTAGGATAAGGGGGAGTTTCCTGCACAAGCTCTCTCTCTTTGTCTGCTGCCATCCATGTAAAATGTGACTTGCTCCTCCTTGCCTTCTGCCATGATTGTGAGGCTTCCCCAGCCATATGGAACTGTAAGTCCAATTAAACCTCTTTCTTTTATAAATTGCCCAGTCTCAGGTATATCTTTATCAGCAGCATGAAAACGGACTAACACAGGCATCAAGGTATGTGCAGAGTTACTAATAACTTAGCATTTTTGGAGTGTCTCCCTTACTTTCACAAGAATTAGATGATGCTTGTCTCGCAGCCTCAAGTGGACTGTTTCATAGAAGTGTTGTGATTCCTGGAGTCTGCAGGATCTTTAATTGCTCTTTGAAATTGCGGCTTGTTAAGTAAACTGTACAACAGGGATTTTCCTGCAGAGGTTAGTGTGGCTTCTGTAACTGGCTGATTTGAATTTTTATTAGTTATTAGGTTAAGGACATTGATCAAATTTGTACATGACCCAAATCAGGAAATGAGAGCTACTATGTTGACTGTCAACAATAGGATTTATAAATGCAGGCACAGATGGGAATCAGGGGCCAATGCTAACTCAATAAAATTGAAAATAAAAGAAGTATAGTTTAGGGGTGATGTAGCCTAACAGGACCTGTGATAAACAGAAATGGGGCTTTCCATCAACACTTGGGCTGATGACTTAAGCAAACTCCCATCTGAATGCATCTTCCTCTAAAAGCATGGCCCCCAGGATTGTAACCCTGTGTTCCCCAGGTGTCTTAGGTGGACTCCTCAGACCCTCGGTCAGTTCTGGTGTTCAGAATCCCTCAGATGCTTAGCTCCATTAAGTGCACATGACATCAAGTTTAAAAGAGTTAAGAAATGAGACTTCCTTCCAGATAAATGACGTTCACCATTGCTGGGAGATAGTATACACCGTGACAGGTTACAGCTCAACAGAATAGAAGAAATGCAAAATTTTTGGCATTTAAACCATGCAGCTGGATTCCATTCCTCTGCCAAAGTACTTCCCCCAGTGGCCAAAGCTATGAAAGACCTGGCTGTGAAGAATAAGTATTCTGAAGTCCAGGAGTCTTCCAAGCTTGCGCTGTGGCATTTATTTCTTACCTTATCTCTGGCTGAGCACATTCTGGGAAAAACATTGTAGTTATTGCAGAGCATACTTCAGCAGTCTACTTAAGTCCACAAATAGAAGAACAAGAAGTACCCTAGGGGCCCCATGTGCTTAGTGTGACCAGCCCTTCATTAACATGCTGAGGTCATCTGGACCACAATGGAGCCGTTCTCACCTGGCTGTGCAGTGGCGTCTGCAGGCCTCTGGCCCAGCTTGCCTGTCCTGGAGCAGGGATGCTAGGGGACTGGAAGAAGGTGTGCAGATGCTGCCTGCCGCCTACCCCCACCTCTGTCTTGCTAGTAGAGCCCTCCGTTTTTCAGGTGTCAGGATCATTGTGCTCAGGGAATAGGGGCCCTATCAATTACTTAATTCCATTCCCCTTTGCCATGGGTGTTAGGGTGGGCTGTGGGCGTGTGACCTGGTTCCCACGAGTGGATTTTGAGGGGAAGACTGCTAGGAGCTTTGGGAAAGGCTTTTGTTGCTAATAGAGTTATGTGAGGAACAAGCATCCTTATTTTTGAACATGCTGTTTAAGACGGTAATGCCTGGAGCTTTAGCAGCCACTCTGTAACCATGAGGGGAAAAGTGAAGATGGAAGCCAAGATGCTGAGGCTGGTGGAGCAGACAGATGGAACGATCCTGGGTCTTGGGGACACCGCTGAGCTGTTGCACTGACCCTGCGCCTCTTACTGCAAGGCATCTTGTTAAGTGAAGTAATCAGCGCATGTTGTTTTAAACTGCTTGTACGTGGATGTTGTGTTATGTGCACCCTACATCATCCTGAAGGAGGAAGGGGGATTGTAAGGCTGACCTGGGGTAAGGGGATCCTACAGTCTGCAGTGCAGTCATGATGAGGACACTCTTCCCATCTGGGGAGGACAGAAGGCACATCTGGAGCATGTGAGGGATGGAGACTTCCCAGGGGCAGGGAGCCCCACTCACAGAGTAGCTCCTAGGAGTGGTGTTTGGGGGAACTATACCAAGTCAAGAGGGCTGTGCATTTGGACCAGACTTCCCAGGTGATCAGATGGCCCCTGAGGAACACCAGTCAGCCCAGGAGGGCGTCCTGTTCTTAGGGGTATGGGCAAGTCACTGCATAGCCTCAGCCATATCCTCACACCATAGGGAGTTTTATATGGGAAGAGACTATTTCTCAGGATTAGAAAGGAATTAGGGAAACCAAGGTCACCTTCACACTGCCCTTCTTGGCAGATAGGGTTACCAGGTATAGGAGCTGCTAACCTAGAAGAGTCAACCCCAGTCCCGAGCCCTGACACCATCCACTGTTTCCCAGCTCTAGCGAACATCTCCTTAGCCTTCATTGGGAAGGAAGTGGAGGGAGCCATACTTCCAGAGGATTCTCCAGTGGGATGGCCGGGAAGAGGCTGACCATACCCCTAGCGCAACAGTCCAGCTGGCTGGCAAAACAGGCTCCGGAAGTTTCACTGTCGCTGTGGGTGGCACCTGCGGGTACAGTTGGCACCATCCCTCCATGGGGAGGTCTCCTTGGGCGGGGTCTCCTCTGAGCCTCCCCTTCCTGGTGCACATGGGGATGCCTTTGGTATAGTCTGTCCCTAAACTAACAGTGGT